CTTCATATATTATGGGGTTCTATCTTTAGAAACATATGTTTAAATGTTTACAGTTGTTATCTTTCTGATAGATTGACCCTTTTATCCTTGTATAATGTCCCTTTTTGTCTATTATGACAGTTTGGCCTTGAAGTCTATTTTGTCTGATATTTGTATAGCCACTCTAGATCTCTTTGACGAACTGTTTTGCATAGAATATCTTTTTCCATCCTCTTCATTTTAATGATATTTTTATCTTTGAATCTAACATGTCTAGTGTAGACAGCATGTAGTTGGATTTTTAAAAATGTTCTGCTAGTCTCTGCCTTTTTGATTGAATTGTTTAATCTATTCATATTTAATGTTATTATTGATACAGTTGGACATTTGTATCTGCATTTTACTTTCTGTTTTCCACATGTCTCATGTATTTCATTCCTCTGTTCCTCCTTTACTGCTTTCTTTTGCACCAAGTGAATACTTCTAATGTAACATTTTAATTCCTTTAATGATTTTTTTCACTTTTTTGTAGTTATTTCCTTAATGGTTGCTCTAGGGCTTACCAATATACCTTTCAGTTTATTAGAATCTGCATCAGATAAGTTAATTCCAATGAGATATAGAAACATTACTCCAATACACTCTCGTCCCCATTTCCCCTTCTTGTGGCATTGTTGTTATACATATTACATCCATAGGTTACAAAACCAGTAACACATTGTTATAATTATTGCCTTATATAATTTTATATCTTTTAAAGAATATGAGAGAAGAAAGAAGAGTAAGCATATATTTATGGCTTTTGTTACAAGAGCCTTCTTATTTCCTATTTCTAGTCTTTTTCATTTGTTTTTGTGTATTCCCCATATAGAGTTATTTCCTTAGAATAATACAGTTTTGCTCCCACTCACATCCTTTTTGCTGTTATTGGCAAATGTATTGTTGGGTCTGTAATGTATAGAAATATGATTGTGCACATATTGTTTTGTATAGTTGCTTTTAAAATCAGTTATTGGAAGGGAGGCTGTATCAGATATGATTTGCAAATATTTCTCCCATCCTGTAGGTTGCCTTTTCATTTTGTTGGTAGTTTCCCTTGCTGCGCAGAAGCTTTTTAGTTTGATGTAGTCCCACTTGTTTACTTTTGCTTTTGTTGTTGAATCCAAAACCTCATTCCCAAGACCTATGTCAAGGAATTTACCACCTATGTTTCTTCCAGGAGTTTTATGGTTTCAGATGTTACATTCAAGTCTTTAATCCATTTTGAGTTAATTTTTGTGTATGGGGTAAGATAAGGGCCCAGTTTCATTCTTTTGAATGTGGCTCTCCAGTTTTCCCATCACCATTTAAAGAAGAGATTGTTTTTTTCCCCATTGTATATTCTTAGCTCCTTTGTCATAAATTAATTGACCATGTGTGCATGGGATTATTTCTGGGCTCTCTATTCTGTTCCATTGAGCTATGTGTCTGTTTTTATGCCAGTACCATGCTGTTTTAATTGGTACAGCTTTGTAATATAGTTTGAAATCAGGAAGTGTTACGCCTCTAGCTTTGTTCTTCTTTTTCAAGATTGCTTTGGCTATTTGGGGTCTTTTGTGTTCCCTTACGAATTTTAGGATTGTTTGTCCTATTTCTGTGAAAAATGCCATTGGAATTTTGATAGGGATTGCACTGAATCTGTAGATTGCTTTGGGTAGTATGGACATTTTAACTATTAATTCTTCTAATCTGTAAACATGAACTAGCTTTCCATTTATTTGTACTGTCGATTTCTTTCATCAGTGTCTTATAGTTCACAGTATACACCAGACTAATTTCATAATGATGAGGTTAACATAATAATGATGCCTTCCTATTTAGTTTTCACATTGCTTTCATCAGTATTTTCTCATTTGTTCTGTTCTTTCTCTCCATCATGGGACTATGCATATTTTATTTTTTGTCCCAGATTTTTGCCAGATGAACCAAACATAAAATCTCTAGGAGTTTTTAAGATACACCTTTCTCTAAGTTACATCAAATGTATTCTAAACTTTATTACTTTTACTCCCCTCTTGTGATGGAGGCTCATGACGACTTTTCTTGTCTCCACTGTTGGGTGGTGGTAATGAGATTCTTGTTCAGTGATTCTTCTAAGTTGGGGATTAGTGAGTCATTCAGCTCTGTGAGGCCCAGCCTATTATAAACACTCTGTAAATATTAAATGAGGTGATGGCAGGGTCATTAATTCTATCTAGGTCTCCAGTCTTCCATTTCAGTGGTTATTTCTGTGTTAATACTTCCTCGGGTGTTTCAGATCATAATCCTTTCACATCGAGCTAATTATTTTGCTCAGGGTTACATTTTTGCTATGGCTATATCTGTGTTCAAAGTTTTTTACTAACTGGAGAAGACTCTCTGAACTCTATTTGCCCAGTGGGTCAGCAAAAGAATATTGGATTTTCTTAAATTAAATCCTGCAAGTATTTTTCAGCTGTAGTTCTATTCCCCAAACTCTCATCAGTTGGAAAGCTATTTTCTTTAGAATGTGCCCGGTATTTGTTATTTATATAGCAGATCTCATTCAGTCACATACCTTTAATCTGCCAGCATCTTATGGTTCTGAGAAACTTGCAGGAATGGTAGGAAACCTCTAGGTTTCAGGCAATCTCTGCAATTTCTAGAATATAATGTGGATTGCCATTTTGTTTTTTTTTTTGTGCTGTCAAGGAGGTTTATGATGATATTTGAGTGCTGAAAGTGATTTTGAAAGGTCAGTTAATCCATTGTTTCATGAAAACTTATGAAATTTGATTCAGGTGAGGACTGTTGACTACTGTTAAATTTGTTACGTGACGGGGAACTAGAAATTTGTAGTGGACCAAAATAACACTACACAGACAATTTCCTAGATGTAACAGGGAAAACATATCCATACAGTGGGTGGATCAGGCTTCATCATCCAAATTCATTGGTTAATCTTAGCTTTACTTATGTTGGCTTAGCCATTTATCATCTGTCATTTGATGTGATGTAGGATAAGGTTCAGAGCACCATCTATGATGTATTTTAGCCAAAAAATACCTGACTCTTGGGTGTTTAGATTAAAAAAATTTTTTTATCCACTATTTCCTGTAAACGAATATACTAACACCACAAGGAAGCAGCCAGACAGAAGATGGGTCCTTTTGCATTCTACCTGTACTGGTCTCTTCAGTAAATCAATGTCATAAAAATAGAGGTTGTACTAGATTCAAAGAGACTTAAGGGGCAAGCACTGAGATACAACGCATGATCTTGAATTGGATACTGGCTTAGACAAACCAACTGTAAAGGAAATTTTTTTGGTCAGTTAGGGAAATTTGGAAATAGTCTGGATGTTATATGAAATGAAATGTACTGAAATGCACAAGTGGAGAATAACTCTGGTGACCAAAAAAAAGTATATATAAATATTTACATAGTAAAAGATCTGGAAGTATATACACTTAAGGTGTTGGTAGTGGTACTCCCAGGTGATGGGAATGTGGGGTTTTAATATTTTTACTTGTCTTTCCCTCCTAATTTTCTGCAATGTACATGCCTGTTTCTGTGTTAATAAAAACTTTAAAAAAGTCTAACTCATCCTGTACAGATTATTTTAATATATTTCACAAATTATTTTCTTGGTAAGGATTTTATAATCTTTGGGATACTCCTTTGAATTGTATCTTTAGATTCTGTATACATCTTTTTAAAAATTTAATCTTTTGTTTTTGCGGTACGCGGGCCTCTCACTGCTGTGGCCTCTCCCGTTGCGGAGCACAGGCTCCGGACGCGCAGGCTCAGCGGCCATGGCTCACGGGCCCAGTCACTCTGCGGCATGTAGGATCTTCCCGGACCGGGGCACGAACCCGTGTCCCCTGCATCGGCAGGCGGACTCTCAACCACTGTGCCACCAGGGAAGCCCCTAAAATTTAATCTTTTATTATGGAAAATTTCAAACACATATTAAAATAGATAGAATAATATAATGAATTTCCATGTACTTATCATCCAGCTTCAGAAATGATCAGTTATGCCGTTTATTTCATCTCTACCCACCATTCCTCTCCACCTGTTATTTTGAAGCAAACCCACATGTCATATCTTTGCATCCATAAATAGTTCCATATTTATTTCTAAAAGATAAAAACATTAAAAAAATAATGGTATCACACCAAACAATAAGTAAATAAAATAACAATATTTCCTTAATATAAGAAAATATCTTGTTCACATTTCTTCAGTAGTCTTATAAGTGATTTTCTCTAGTTATAGTGTTTGAATCAGAGTACAAATAAGTTCCCAACATTACAGTGGTTACGTGTCCATTAAGCTTTTTTTTAACATTTTTATTGGAGTATAATTGCTTTACAATGGTGTGTTATTAAGCTCTTTTAATCTATAGGTTTCTCCCTCCTCCTCCATCATTTTTTTTCCCTTGCAATTTATTTGTTGAAGAAACTAGGCCCTTTATCTTCTGTAATTTCTCACATTCTGCATTTTTCTGCATGCTGTCTTAACATTTTAATGCCCAAGTCTGGAAACTGTTCTCTAGAATGCATCTGAGTAGGTTCCCATTTAAAGCTTATAAAATATACTTACGGAATGTGTTTGTAAAATCTGTAAATTGGAAGAACTAATTTACATCCAAAAGTCTTTTGAATTTAAGACTCTTACAGCCTTGGCTATTACAGTAAGAAGAAACAACTCTTGAAATAGGATTACATTGGGGGTGGACTTCAGTGATTCAGTTACACAGATTTTAGGTAGGAGCTCATCAGATTTCCTTTTCACAGCTAAATGAAGAGTTTACACTGAAAGTACATTCTGATATAGTGGGGTTCTCTTGAAATATTATTTAATACTTGCATAGAGCTTGGGTTATAAGATGTGCTCTTTATCGTGATACCTATGTACTATTTTTTTGTTTTCATTTGTCTTTAAAAATTTTTACTGCTAAGGCTACTAAGGTTAAGATTTCCACTGCCTGCTTATCGATTTGTCTCTAACGATTGTAGGTCGAAGATGACAGTGATGCAGAGACCTATGGAGAAGAGAATGAAGAACAGGGACATTATTCTAAAAGGAAGATAGTTTCTAACTGGGATCGATATCAAGATACTGAAAAAGAGGTCGATAATGAAAGTGGAGAATCACAGAGGGGGACAGATTTCAGCGTTCTCCTCAGCTCTGCAGGTATGAATTCCAGTTGCATGCGGACTGCTTAGTGCTATGAAAGTTGCATAGGCATTTATGTTCCTTTTTAAATAGCATTTTAATAACTAGAAATTCATTGTTTGTTCTTTGGATTTTAAATCCAGGTAAAGGACAGTGTATCTAATGGTTGGCAAGGAAAAAGTGACATTTCTTTAAATGGAAATCTGGGTTTCCATGTACTGATGTAGAAAGACTTCAGTCCTGGTTGAAATGGGTAAAAGGCTTTATAGGAATGAAAAATGCTAAACTATGCCCCTCTAAATTGGGTAGGCTGAGAAACAGAAGTGTTTTCTTTGATTTCAGAGGAATTAGTACTGAAGTTTATACAAAGCTTTACAAAGTTTCTAGACTATACATTCTTTTTTCCTTTTATACTCAAGAACATACGTATTAGTGGGTAGGCACATATTGTAGCCATATGTGTCTGAATACCAATACTTTCTTTGCTGGTTTTGGACAGTCTTCTCTGTCAGCAAGGGGAGACACTCATCCCTTCTTTGACCAGCTGTTTAAGATTGACTCCGTTGAGCAACGCACAGCAGTGTGAAGCCTGAGAGTAGTAACAGAAAATGGACCAGAGCTGGTTGTATAGAAGTCTATTCCCTACCAGCGTGTGGCATAAGAATTCAAAGGATAAATGGTGGCTAGACTTTTGGTTTTCAGGAGTTACGGATGGGGAGTGGGTGGGAGGTGGATGTGCTCATAAAAGCGCAACACGAAGGATCCTTGCAGTGCTGGTACCGATCAATATCTTGATTGTGGTGGTGGACACACAGACTCTTATGTACACACACATAAAAGTGAGTGCAAATGAAACAGGGGAAATCTGAATAAGATTAGTGGATTCTATCTATGTCAAATGTCAATTCCTGGTTGGGATATTATAGTATAGTTGTGCAAAATGTTATCATCGGGGCCAACCGTGTAGGAGATCTTGCTGTATTATTTCTTATAACTATCTGAATTTACAATTACCTCAAAAAAGTTGCCAGGTTAAAAAACATTTAAAGGATGAAGCCATGAGAAACAGAGAAATAAAGTGAAAGTAATATTTTCAGACAGTTGGCTTTGAATTTCTTCTCCCCAGCTTTTATGTTGCTGTTGAGTGGTACCTTTCTTTTTTCTCATCTGCCTGTATTTTTGAATGCCTGCAGCAAACTAAGTATCATAAAGTGATGAATTGTCTTCCAAGTTAATAGAATAAACCCTTTGAGTAGGAAACGAAGAGGTAAGTGGAGAGAGTATTAGATTTGAGTAGGAGAGCAGATTCAGCCTGGGGTCGTTATGTTTATGCCACGTAGCGTAACCCCCTTGTTTGGATGATGGCATCCAACTCATTGTTCAGGGACTGGTAGCTCATCTTTTTGCCACAGATGAGTGTTTCCCTCTTATTACCTGCATTTTGGCCAGTTACGGATTTATGAGCACTTGTTTTCAAGATAGGAGGAGGATAAAATGTGGGCTCATCAGTTTCAATTTTTACCAGCTGTTCCACTAAAAGATTTAGGGGGCAAATTGAACTAGTGCATAAAATTAACATGTGGACTACCTACCAGTGGATTTAATTGAATCAATTGTGTAGTCAAGTTACTAGGACAGTATCTGGCAATAAAAGAGACTGCATAAATGTTTGAAGGCAATTCAGAATGCTAGTCTAATCCAACAGTTATGCACATTGGCTTATGATTTTGGTTATTTATTGTAGCATTTTATTTATAACTTAAAGCCTGGCATGGTTTGGGTCTTATATGTATATTTTTCTTGTAGTCTGTCTTTGCTTACTGATTTCTTAAGTGGTTTATCGGTGATTCGTTTCTTGGGAGATCACAACCGTCACATCTTGATATGTGCTTACATTTCTTTCCCACTTTGCTGCTGATCTATCATTTTCTTTTCACTACAGCATAAGCCTGAGAAGAGCTTCCATGCTTTCTTCCTCTATGGTGGGGTAGGCTATATTGGATTACTTTTGAGAAGTGGAGTTCATTTGGTGATCATAAAATATTAAGAATGTCCTCTAGATAGGCTGACCATATTCCTTGGAATGATTGTGATTTTTAGAATACTGTCCTTATTTGTATAAATACATATACAACCCAGAAAAAATATCACTGACCATACTCCTTGGAATGATTCTGATTTTTTAGTATACTGTCATTGTTTGTATAAATAAATGTACAACCCAGAAAAAACATCATAGACGTGTGCATCGTAAACTTTCCTAGATATTGCCAAAATGCTCTCCAAAGAGGAGATGAGCTGAACTTCCTAGAGTCCGCCGTCTTTGCCAATTGCAAATATTTCAAAACCAAAATTAACCAATCTTTTAAAATAGCTACATTTTCTTTTCTTTTTTTCTTTCTTTGCTATATGCGGGCCTCTCACTGCTGTGGCCTCTCCCGTTGCGGAGCACAGGCTCCGGATGCGCAGGCTCAGCGGCCATGGCTCACGGGCCCAGCCGCTCCGCAGCATGTGGGATCTTCCCAGACCAGGGCACGAAACCGCGTCCCCTGCATCAGCAGGCGGACTCTCAACCACTGCGCCACCAGGGGAGCCCTGTTAGACTTTAAAAAAAAAATTTTATTGTGGCCAGTTGATTGAGTGGTATCTAGTTGAGGTTCCTTCAGTTATTGGAGCACCCACCATTTCCAGGTACCGTTTCAGAGGCTGAGCATACAGAAGTGAAACAGAACAGACACAAACACCTGCCTCGTGGAGTTGACATTCTAGAGGGTGGAGGCACAGAATAAAGGAAAGGAAACTATGTGAGATGTCAAATGGCTATAACTGCTTAGGGTAGAAGTGAAGTGAGGGAGGGGCCTTTACAGTTTTAGAAAGGTGGCCAGAGAAAGTCTTACCGATAAGATGACATTTGAGTAAAAGACCCGAGGAAGGTAAGGGAGCAGGCATTGAGGATATCTGTGGGAAGAGTGTTCCTGGCAGAGGCGGGAGCAAGTTCAAAGGCTTTGAGATAGGAGTAAAGGAGATAGCAGAGAGGCCAGCGTGGCTGGAGCAAAGTGAGCAGGTAGGCGGTGAGGTTAGAGATGCGTCGCGTGGCCAGATCACCTGGGGGCTTGTAGACCATTATAAAGGTGTTGGCTTTTACTCAGAGTGAAATGTGCAGCCACTGGAGGGTTTTGAAGAGAAGAGTGATAATAGCTAACTCTTGTTTTAACGGGATCATTCTGCCTGCTGAGTTGGAATGACCTGAAGACTGGTGAGGGAGGGAGCAGGTAGACTAGTGAGGCTACTGAAATACAGTTGTTCCTCGGTATCCATGGGGGTTTGGTTCCAGGACCCCCAGTGGATAACAACATCTGTGGATGCTTAAGTCTCTTGCATAAAATGGTGTAGTACAGCTAGCCCTCTGTTTCCGTGGGTTCTGTATCTGCAGATTTCTATCTGTGGTTGAATCCGTGGATGTGGAACCTGCAGCTATGAAGGGCTGACTGCAATGCAGACAAGCACTGGTGGTGGCTGGGGCTAGGGGTGGTAGCGGTGGAGGTGGTGAAACATGGTTGCGTTTCGGATCTATTTTGAAAGAACTGCAAATGTAGGGTATAAGATCAGACTTCCACTTGTGGGGTATGAGATTAAAAGATGCACAAGGATGACACCAAGATTGTGCCCTGCAGAGCTAGAAGGGGTTTGACATTAAATGAGATGGATAAAACTATAGGAGGTGCTCAGTTTGCACGTGTTAAAATTGAGATGCCAGTTAGACATCTGTATTAGTCAAAATCCTGTAGGAAGGAGATGGTACACTCAATATAATTATAAAGAAGTTTTAATGAAGGAATCATTTCCAAAGTTA